GATGATGCTGCTGATGATGATGAGGTGGAGGAGGAGGACGACGGGGGGGAGGAGGAGGAGGAGGAGGAGGAGGAGGAGGAGGAGGAGGAGGAGGAGGAGGAGGAGGAGGACCTGTGTAAACCCAAGAACCATTCACGATTTTGAAGTAAACCCTCCGAACTCTTCAGATGCCCCCGCAAATGTTCACTTCCATTTAGTCAACTGCGTCCCTGGGAGACATCCGTTTGAAGATCCTGAAGCGTGCCAACACAAAATTCTCGGGACTCCAACGCCACGGATCAACCAGACTGTTGCGTCTTGACGATCCTGAATCGTGCCAGAACGCCGTTCCTGGGGTTTCAGCACCGCGATTCACCCTCACAGTCCTGACTCCTTCCAAAACGCAATTTCTGGTGCGTTGGCCATGGGAATCCGTGGCGGCCTTTCAAGTTTTGAATGATGAATGGGCGCGGCGCTATGGCGAGAGCCACTTTTTGTACGCCAGCTGCCCTCAATGCTTGCGCGGCGCTGAGGCGAAAGCCACAGTTTGAAAAACCACTCGCCCTCAATTATGAAACTGTTGTCAATGTTTGAAGCTTCAGGCGCATAAATGGTGAGGAAGTCTGAGGCGAAACGCCCGGCCCGCCCTTCCGACCGGCCTCGGGGTGCGACAGGGAGAAGTTACGTGTAAGGACGAGGAATGGAGGGGGAGTAGAAGGAGGAGGAGGAGGAGGAGGAGAAATGGGAGGAGGAGGAGGAGGAGGAGGAGAAAACGGAGAGGGGACGCGCGGCCCGTCTCTTCAAAGCGAGGGCCTAACAGCACATGGATGGTCAGGACAAAAGTGCCCCGCCCTCCCCCAGCACCGGCGCCCTCCGGCCCCGGCACCACGCGAGGAAGGGTTGGAGGGGCAGAAGTAGCAGGAGGCGGAGGCGGAGGAGGAGGAGGAGGAGGAGGAGGAGGAGGAGGAGGAGGAGGAGGAGTATGATGCTGCTGCTGCTGAGCAGAAGGAGGCGGAGGAGGAGGAGGAGGTCGAGGAGGAGGAGGAGGAGGAGGAGGAGGAGGAGGACGAGGAGGAGGTGCAGGAGGCGGAGTTGGTGCAGGAGGAGGAGGAGGGGAGGAGGAGGAGTCCCTTCCCGGTCCTCCCCCCCCGACCATCAGATGCCCCCCCCCCCCCCCGCGCCCCCAGCCCCGGCGCCCCACGCCTCCAGCCGCCCGCCGTCCGCCGCTGCCGGCGGGGCTCGCGGGCGGCCCTCGCGCCTCTCGCGACTCGCGCCGCTCGCCAGCGACGATCGGGCCGAGGAGGAGGATCGAGGGGGAGGATCCAGGAGGAGGAGGAGGAGGAGGAGGAGGATAAGGAGGATGAGGGGGAGGTGGAGACTAAGGATCGATGAGGATCGAAGAGGACCGAGGAGCATCGAGGAGGTTGAGGAGGAGGAGGAGGAGAAGGATCGAGGAGGAGGATCGAGGAGGAGGAGGAGAAGGAGGAGAAGGAGGAGGAGGAGGAGGAGGAGGGGAAGGAGGGGGAGGAGGGGGATGCTGCTGCTGCTGCTGATGATACTAATGATGATGATTATGGTGATGCTGATGCTGATGATGCTGTCAATGGTGATGACGCTGAGGATGATGATGATGATGACGATGACGATGCTGATGATGCTGATAATGGTGCTGATGATGTTGATGATGGTGATGCTGCTGATGATGACGCTGATGATGATGCTGATTGTGATGACGATGATAACGATGACGATGACGACGATGACGACGATGCTGATGCTGATGCTGGTGGTGCTGCTGATGATGCTGCCGATGACGATGATTATGCTGCTGCTGCTGATGACGATTATGACGATGATGATGCTGATTACGATGATGATGCTCATGATGATGCTGCTGATGGTGATGAAAAGGATGGTGATGAAGACTACGATGACGATGACGTGGTTGATAATGCTGATACTGGTGTTGTTGATGATGTTGACGATGATGCTGCTGCTGTGCTACTGCTGCTGCTGCTGATGATGATGATGATGATGAATATGGCGACGATTACGACGATCATGATTATACGGATGATGATGATGATGATGATGATGATGATGATGATGATGATGATGATGATGATGATGATGATGATGATGATGACACTGCTGATGATGATATTGATGTTGATGTTCATGCTGATGATGCTGATGATGATGTTGATGATGCTGATGATGATGCTGATGCTGATGATGATGATGCTGATGCGGATGCGGCTGATGATTATGATGATGTTGATGATGAGGCTGCTGCTGCTGCTGATGATGAAGGTGATGATGCTGATGATGATGATGATGCTGATGATGATGATGATGATGATGCTGCTGATGCTGCTGATGATGATGCTGCTGATGATTATGATGATGATGATGCTGATGCTGATGATGATGCTGATGCTGATGCTGATGCTGATGCTGATGATGACGATGATGCTGATGCTGATGATGATGATGCTGATGCTCATGCTGATGCTGCAGATGCTGCTGATGATGCTGCTGATGATGATGCTGATGCTGCTGATGCTGCTGATGATGCTGCTGCTGATGCTGACGATGATGCTGACGATGATGATGACGATTATGATTATCATTATGATGATGATGATGATGCTGCTGCTGCTGATGATGATGATGATGATGATGATGCTGCTGCTGATGATGATGATGATTATGATGATGATGATGAAGATGAAGATGAGAGATGATGATGATGATGATGATGATGATGATGATGATGATGATGATGATGATGATGATGATGATGATGATGATGATGATGATGATGATGATGATGATGATGATGATGATGATGATGATGATGATGAGGAGGAGGAGGAGGAGGGAGGAGGAGGAGGAGGAGGAGGAGCAGGGGGATCGTGGGGGAGGAGGGAGAGGAAGAGGAGGAAGAGGAGGAAGAGGTGGAGGAGGAGGAGGAGGAAGCGGAGGAGGAGGATGAAGGGGGGGAGGCGAGGAGGAGGAGGAGGAGGAGGAGGAGGAGGAGGAGGAGGAGGAGAAGGAGAAGGAGGAGGAGGAGGAGGAGGGAGGAGGAGGGAGGAGGAGCGTAGAGATGGAGGTTGGAACAGGAGGGGGAGGAGGAGGGGGAGGAGAGGGGACAAGCTAGGTGCGCCCGCGTCATATCTGACATCCTACCCCTCCCTCCCATCCCTTACCATGGCGCAGATCCCCTCTCTACTCGCACAGTCGGATGTCGAGCAGGGCAATGTTCCCGAAAGGGTACGCGATGCATTGTAGAGCACGGCATGGCATGGCGTAGAAGAGCACTGCAAAGCGTAGTATCAACCTAGCATTGCATTGCATGCCGTGGCATGGCACGGGAAATGACGTCAGTGCTGCAGCGGGAGCACGAGTCGAAACGAGCGGAAGCGCAGAAATGAGGCCAGCGCTGCAGCGGGAGCACGACTCGGAACGAGCGGAAGCACGCCGGAATCGGCCCGGGAGGCTTCCCGGGCGCCAGAAGCAGAAATTCAGCACGTTCAAAAGAAAAATGTGTATTGGAATGGCCTTTTTTCGGCGCCGCCTCGGAACTCGATTTTCCGGCGCCGGCCCTTCGGACCCGGCCCGAGCGCCGGCCCGGGCGCCGGCTCGGGTGTGCAGCCTGGGCGCCAGCGGAAATGATGCCAGCGCTGCAGCGGGAGCACGATTCGGAACGAGCGGGGCCCGAAAATGAGGCCGGCGCCTCAGCGAGAGCAGCATTTCGGAAAAAAGTGCAGGCGAAAACCCAACTCCGGGGAAACCCGTGTCTAAAAAAACAATACGCGGGGGGGGTCGGATATTTCCAAGCCGTCATCAGGGGAAGAGGGAGAGTAGTCTTCATATTGAGTAATTGTGGAGAAGGAGGAGGAAAAGGTGGTGGAGGAGGAGGAGGAGGAAGGGAGCAGGAGGCGTAGAAAACGGGGGCGGCGGGAGAAGGAGGAGTTGGAGGAGGAGGAGGAGGAGGAGGAGGAGGAGGAGGAGGAGAAGGAGGAGGAGGGAGGGAGGGTGGCCGAAGAGAGGGCTCCGGCGGCGCCAGAAAGCCTCGATCGTCGAGCCTGATGTTCGGAGTCCGCAGAGTTAGGAGGAGGAGGAGGAGGAGGAGCAGGAGGAGGAGGAGGAGGAGGAGGAGGTCGAGGAGGAGGGGGGGCAGGACGAGGAGGAGGAGGAGGCCGCCCGTCCCCCGGGGCAAAGCGACACGCCATCAGCTCGCAGGGCGTAGCGTGCCGCGACGTGCGGTGCAGCAGCTCCTCACTGCAGGGGCGCGTTTTGTGGATATCCTCCTCCTACGCCTCCTCCTCCTCCTCCTCCTTCTCCTCCTCCCTCCGCCTCCTCCTCCTCGATCCTCCTCCTCTTCCTCCTCCTCCTCCTCAACCTCCTCCTCCTCGATCCTCCTCCTCCTCCTCCTCCTCCTCCTCCGCCCCCTCCACTTGCATGGTGGCACACTTCGCCAAAACGGCATCCCCGTTTCGGCCTTTCGGCTTGCGCAGCCTTCCCCTGCTTCGCCGCCGACGCAGCAGAAAGTGTGTGTGTGTATATATATGTATATATGTACACACAGACTCGTTTGGTCGGCTCTGATGCCGCCGATTTTGTTTTCTGACTCGCGTTCAAGGGCTTCTTGAGGAACCCCTTGGAGAGCTGCAGACTATTCATACCAGTTTTCCTTCTCATCCATCTCCCTCTTTCTTTTCAAATGCATTTCCATTGGGCTCTGTATCGTAATCGTGCTCTGTATCGTTATCATCCTCGTCATCCTCAGCCTTTTCAAGGTCAGTATCTTCCTTATCCTCTATTTTTCTCACTCTCGGCGGCCTCATCCTCACCACACTCTGACGGTTCAGTTTTTTCTCAGGTATCTTTATCATGTTTTGCATCGTCCTCATCCCCATCATCCTCGCCCTTCTGATTGTCACTCCCTCAATTTCTCAATTAGGTTGAACTGGAGCGTGTGCAGACCACGCAGTGTTTCCGGTCCAATCCATCACAGTAGTGCTGCTGTTGCGGCTCAGGTGCGAAGCTCCGGTACCCCCCCTCCCATTGAACTGACAGCATGGGGTTTCCAGAGTACGGTTCGAACGCGTACAACAAGAAGATAATCCGCAACCGAGGGTACAAGGAGAAAGCCAAGCAGGACACATTGGGGATCAAAAACCTGTATACTAATTGTGCTTCGTTGTAGTGTTTCTGTTTCGGGGCATTTTGGATAAGAGATAACATTTTGAACATATATTGTTAAGAAAACTACATTTACACATCCTCAGGAGAAGTACAGCAAAAAGCCCGTTGTCAAGTTCTTGGTTGATACTCACCTGAAGTTCACACAGACGAAGCTAGACGCCAAGACACGCAAGTGCAACAAGCTGATGCGCGACCTGCAGACGGCGAATTCCACAATCAAGCAAATGGAAGCAGCAGGGAAAAAGAAGGATAAGCGCATCACAGAATTAGAAGAGAAGAACACGGAGTATGAGGAGTGGGGTTATTTGTTGAAGAACGAGTGCCAGGAGACCAAAAAGGAACGCAACAAGCTCGAACGGCAGAAGCAGAACATTGAGAGCGAGCACATCAACTTCGTCGACAAACACGGGCGGCTGATGGCCACCTTCGCCGACCGCGTGTCTCCCAAATTCTTGAAGACCATTTGCAAATGGGAGCAGAAGCCTCCCAAGCGCCTGCCGTGGTGCGCTGTCGGCATGTGCTAGACCATGTGCACACTAGGCGAACGAGAGCAATTCAATTTGAATCCGGAGCAAAAAAAACTGGGGGGCGAGTCCGCGGAGAGGGGGGATTATGCAAGGCTCGTTTTTGTTATAGTTTTCTAAACGATTCTGGGTTGTGCGATTTCGACAGAGGGGTCGCGACAAATCGATTGATGTAGTTTTTGTTCTGGCGTGGAGAAGCGGCTGGGTGAGCCCGCGGGGGAAGATTATGACAGGGTCGTCTTGGGAATAGTTGTTCTGGAGATTCTGGAGCTTGGGGGTCCCATCATACGGCGCTTTCGAATCGAATCGGGTCCATAATGTTCTGGCGTAGACACTCAGGCGGGCGAGCCCGTGGGAGAAATCTACCGCAGAGTCGTGCTCGTAATCATGTTTCGCCGGAGATTCTGTGGCTCGCGTTCAGGTCTGATGTGGATCAGTTTGTTCGGGTTTGGACTGGTCTGGTCTGATATGGTGGCATGATCAAGTCTGGTCTGATCCGGCTTGTCTGGTCTGGTCTTGTCAAGTCTAGTCTGGTCTGGGCTGGTTTGGTGTGTCTGGTCTGGTGACGCGTCTGATCTGCGTGATGTGTCTGGTCTGGCGACGCGTCTAGTCGGCGTTGTCTTGTGACGAATCTGGTCTGTCTAGCTGGGTTTCTGTCAAGCCGATTTCTGGCGTTTAAAGCAAAACAGAAAGCAATGAACACGTACGAGAATTTGCGTTTTCAGATGTTTCCTGTTGGTTTCTCTAATTTTTGGTGTGCTTTTATATGTTTTCCTTGGTTTTCATTGATTTTTACTGTGTTTGTTCAGTCCTTTTCTGTTTTTCATTGTTTTTCTGTGTGTTTTCATTGCTTTCATTGTTTTTATTGTTTTTCCTGGTTTTCCACTGCTGGCCCCCGAACAATGGTCCGCAGCCTTACAAAAGGATTCCTCTCAGCGGAAAATTTGGAAAACACTTAAAAAACAAGTAAAACAAAGCAAACACAACGAACAACAATGAACAACAGGAAAGGATTATGAAATCATATGAAAATATGAAAACCAAAGAAACACATGACAAACACCCATTTTTTTTTTTTTTTTTTTTTTTTTTTTTTTTTTTTTTTTAAAAAAAAAAAAAAAAAAAAAACAGCAGGAAATCTGTGAACACAAAGTTTGTTGTGCGTTGTCAGCTGTGTGTTTCATAAGTTTGCTTTGGTTTCCATTGTATTTTGCAGTTTTTTTTTTTTTTTTTTTTTTTTTTTTTTTTTTTTTTTTTTTTTTTTTTTTTTTTCTCATTGGTTTCTTGGTTTTCCGCTGCTGGCCCCCGAACAATGATCCGCAGTCTTACAAAAGGATTCCTCTCAGCGGGAAATTAGGAAAACAATGAAAAACAAGGAAAACAAAGCAAACACAACGAAAAACAATGAACAACATGAAAGGAGTATGAAATCATATGAAAAAATGAAATCCAGAAAAACACATGACAAACACCAAAAAATATATATATAAAAAAAAAAAAACAGCAGGGCATCTGTGAACGCAAAGTTTGTTGTACGTTGCCAGCTGTGTTTTTCATAGGTTTGCTTTGGTTTCCATTGTATTTTGCAGTGTTTCACATTTTTTTTGTGCTTTTTATTGTTGTTCGCTAGTTCCCATTGTTTTCATTATTTTTCATTGTTTTCCTCGTTTCCCGCTGCTGTCTCCAAAAAAAAAAGATATAGCGGCCATGCAAAGGGATTCATTTTTGTGGCGGCCTTACAAAAGGATTCCTTTCTGTGTCGGCCTTACAAAGGGATTCCTTTTGTAGCGGCTCTACAAAAAAAAAATTTCTTTTGTGGAACCCTTGCAAAAAGAAGCTTTCTGCGGAGGCCGTGCAAAGGATTCCTCCGGTGGCGGCTTGACAACATGTTTTCTTTTGTCGCGGCACTACAAAAGAGTTTTTTTCTTGCGACCCAAGTGACCCCTCGATGGGTTTCTCGTGTTTTACCGTCGTCACAGGAGAGGGTTTCAGCTCAGACTGTGTTGTCTTGGCGCGGGATGCTTGTCATGAGATACGTATCGGAATAGCAACATTGCTAGCGAATTTGTTCTCTCAGATAGCTTTAGCCGCGGCGGACGCATATATATATATATATAATATATAATATTCGTGTTTCAGAAGGGAGAAGTATGCGTATTTTGTTTGAAAAGTTGGGTGGTGCATGCCTACCGTGAGAACCGCATCGATTGAAAAACATCGCTATCAATGTTGTTTTCTTTAGGAATTTGATTCACGGCGGGCGCACCCCTTGAGTGTTTTTTCTTGTTATTGCCGCTCAGAAGGAGAAACTATGTGTATTTTTTTTGTGCATTGTGGGCGCGGGGTTACGTCCTTGGGTCGCAACAAATATATTATTTTGTAGTGCCGCGACAAAATAAAACATGTTGTCAAGTCGCCACCGAAGGAATCCTTTGCATGACCTCCGCAAAAAAAAGGCTTCCTTTTGTAACGGTTCCACACGAGAAATCCCTTTGTAGAACCGCTACAAAAGGAATCCTTTTGTAAGGCCGCCACAAAAGAATTCTTTTTGTAAGGCCGCCACAAAAGGAATCCCTTTGTATGGTCGCTATATCTTTTTTTGGAGTCAGCAGCGGGAAACGAGGATAACAGTGAAAAACAATGAAAACAATAGGAACTAGCGAACAACAGCGAAAAACAGAAAAGGATTGTGAAAACATAACAAAGTACTATGAACACCAAAGAAAACCTATGAAAGCACAGCAGAAAGCAATGAACACGTACAAAAAACTGTGTTTTCATATGTTTCCTGTTGGTTTCTTTAATTTTTGCTGTGTTGTCATAGGTTTATTTTGGTTTTCGTTGTTTTTTTACTGTGCTTTCGCAATCCTTTCCTGTATTCCCTTTTTGGGGGTTTTATAATTTTCCGCTGAAGGGAATCATCTTGTAAGGCTGCGGATCAGTGTTCGGGAGCCAGCAGCGGAAAACCAGGAGAACAAGGAAAAACAATGAAAACAATGAACGCACAGCGAAAAACAAGGAAAAACAGAAAAGGATTGAAAAAACACAACAAAAAACAGTGAACACCAAAGACAACGTATAACAACACAGCAACATTAAAGAAACCAGCCGGACACCTGTGAAAACAACGGTTTTTGTACGTTTTCATTGCTTTCTGTTGTGTTTTCATAGCTTCTGTTATCATTGTATTTTGCTTTGTTTTCGCAATCCTTCTCTGGTTTTCCTTGTTTTTCGTTTTGTTTTAACTGTTTTCTTTGTTTTTTCGTTGTTTTCCTGGTTTTCCGCTGCTGGCTCCCGAAAAAATATTGGCTGTCTTACAAAGGAATTCCTTGTGTGGCGGACTGCGAATGTGAAAGACAATGCTGTAAACCAGTTCGAAGAAAAATATGTTCGAAGAAAACTTCGAATCAAGAAGGGTATCAGATAGATCTTAGTGTGTGGGGGGCTACCACATATATATATATATATATATATATATATAATATATATATATATATCATGGCAGGGGCCACGGAATCTCCCAGGCTTCATGACCCACTCTCTTTCTGGTCTGCTCTCCTTCTCCGTTTTTATGTAAACACCTGTTTCTTCGTCTTCTTCTTCTTCTTTGGACCTGTTCCCTGGCCCCCCTCGTCCGCGCATACGCCCCGGGCTATGATGCGGTATGCACCTCTTCCCCGCCCCCCTCCAAGGCCCGTTTCGATCCGATATGATCCAGTTCGATATCGATTCTGGCCTGGTCGATGCGATTCGGTTCCGACATTTCGACGACGCGATGTGGTCCGATGCTAGAAGGGCACCGTTGTGCTTCCTGGCGCGGCCGATCCGATCCGATTCCGACTCCGCGCCGATGCGGCCTGATTCGATGCACGTTCAGATCCGATCCGATCTCCCGATTCGATGCCGACTGATCCTGCCTTCTGCGCCGCCTCCGATCGAGGGGGGGGGGACAAAGAAACACAGGGGCTGGGGCGGATGAAAGAAGCGGGCCGCCGGTAGCGGCCCGCCAGTAGCACTGAGGAGCCCGTGCCCCCCCGCCCCCTTTTCAGGGGCAGCGCTCGGAGGAGGAAAAGGCACCCATACTGCTAGCTTTCCCTCGTTTTCCACTGTGGAGGCCTCCTGAGAGGCCCTCGTCGCCACCGCTGGAATCGCCTCGGTCTGCTGGTCAGAACGCACCCCGGGAGAGTTCTGGGGAGCAGCGGTACCCCCAGATGCTAGGGGGGGATGAGCTCAGGGGGGAAAGCGTCGGCCTCAGCAGCAGCAGCAGCAGCAGCAGCAGCAGCAGCAGCAGCAGCAGCAGCAGCAGCAGCAGCAGCAGCAGCAGCAGCAGCGTGGGAGCACATCGGAACTCGCGCCTCTCAGGGGCAACGTTGGGGGGGAGCTTTCGCTAGTCATCGGAAGTTGTTATATTTTTCCCCGAGGCCGGGGATGGTCTCCATTAGCTGCGCGTCGCGGAGAGGTTCCGAACGGCCGCCGGAGACCCGAGCTGCGACCCCAAAGATGCTCCTTTCAGGGGCAGCGCTCTGGGGGGGGGATTGGCTCGGGGGGACGCATCGGGCTCCAAGCGCCCACCCGTCGCCGAGGGAGGCCCGACCCCGCCCAGGGGAGCTCGGCTTCGCTGTCGGGGGCCCATCGCGTCGATCTGTCGGCGATGCCGCGCCGATTCCACTGTCGGTGCTGCCCCCCTGAGGCGCTGCCCCCCCTCGACATCTGCCGGTGTGATTGACGTTCGGTCCGTGGCCCCCCCTCGACATATTTGACCCCCCCTCGACATCTTTGGCCCCCTCGTCCCCCCTCTCGACATCGCGCTGCCCCCCCTCGACATCTTTGGCCCCCTCTTCCCTGGGGGTAGTGTTTGCCGCCTCGGCAGCGCTGATGGTCCTGGGGCCCGAGAGCGCAGGCCCCAGAGGCCGAAGTCGAACACAGAAGCGCCAGGATTGGCAACAAAACATGTAGTTCAGGAGGGGCAACAAACACACAGAGACACAATTGATCGTCGACTCCCCAGAAAACATGGGAAAACATGGGAAGTGGGGGAGAAGACGAACA